ACTGTCCTGCCTCCCAGCTCCCTGCAGGCATCTTTCCTTCCCCAGCAGGGACATGGGAAGCCGCACCCCCATCCCACGCCCTCAGCCAGGCACAGCAGGCAGCAACCTGAGCTCCTGGCAGCCCTGGTGCAGCTCCACTTTGCAAAGCCATTTCTGCACCTGCAGTGTTTAAGCAGAGAAATGCAGAGCACATACGGTGATGCATCGCTATGCCGACGGGGCACACACACGGCTTCCTTTCGGCTTTGCCCTTTCAGACCCGCAGCGAACGCTGCCGGGCTGGCAGCATCCACAAAAATAGCTGCTGTGGGAAGGGCAGGGAACGCTGCAGGGACATGGCCACAGCTCCTCGCGCTCCGTGCCGGAGGGTTTCCCCAAGCCTCTGCCTGCACAGCAGGAACCTCACCCAGGTTGTACCAGGGATGAGCTTTGTGTCCTCCCCCCCCCCCCTCTCCCCGCAGGTCTGACCCTGCCACTGGCACCCGGGGAGTGCAGGATGCTGCAGGGAAGTGCTTTAATTTAAACCATGCACTTATTTTTTGGGGTTGTTTTTTTTTTTAATCGCATAATTACTGCAGACATTTCTGCTCATGTTAGGTTTTATTACATCTTTGTGGTTATTCTACAAGCCCTAAATTTTGGGCCTCAACTGAGTTGGCAAAGTTCTCTGAAAACATCTGTCCTGAGTTACTCCCCTTCCAGCGCTCCAGCAGAAAGCTGGCAGCTGAAGATGTTGCAACGCGGAGTTTTATTTGCAACAGAAAAAGTTCTTATTCCTGACCCAAACAGAAGCGTAAATATTTACTGCCTCGGTGTCAGCACTGGCCCCACACCTGTGGGTCCCTACAGGCACCCAGGCGCTCGTCCATCCTCCTCCAGAAAACAGCACATCTGTCCCCAGGCACATCAGGTCCTCTCAAGCGCGGGCCGGCAGCACGCAGGAGGCTCAACGCCTGCTCTCTGTCACAGCAAAGAGCAGACCAAAATCCCCTGTGTCAGCAGGAGAAGGGGTGTCCCTCTGCCATTTGCAGTTCTTGCCAGCAGCAATGCTAAGGGGGACACCATCCCTCCCTGAGCAGGGGCTGATTAACAACCACTAATTCCCCCACATTAAAATTTCTGGACCCAACAGGCTGCTTGAATCCAGGAGCTACTAAACAAGACATAGATTTGTTTTCCAAAAGATAAATGCTGGTTGTAAAGGTCCCTTTGCACACCCACCCCTCCCCACAGTCAGTGCTTTGGTGTGACCGGAGCAGAGACGGAGGGGAATTGCATCACCCCGAACGCATCTTGGTGACTTTACTGTTCTTGTTTCTCCTACAAACACACCTGGGGAAAGCAGTGAGGCAGCAAGTCCCAAGGACGTTGCTAACATGGCTCATGAAGCCTGCGTGGCCCTAACGGGGGTCCCAGTAACAGCACATCCCTCCCACTGCGCAGCAGGAGCAAGGGCAGCCGAGCTGCAGCTGCTGCCCGCAAAGGCGCTGCCAGCCCCAGGCCACGCTGCCTGCGCACCACAGACACCTCCGGGATGGCCGGCAGCATCCAGGAGAGCACCCGGCAGCACCGCTCAGCGCCAGCCCGGCCCCACAGCACGCCCGCCTTTTACATGCCGTTAGCCCAGGCGTTTAATTAACAGCCACTGCCGGCTCACACCGCTGCCCCAAAGGCACCTTTGCAATCAAAGCAGCTCACCACCAAGCACTCGGCGCCCAACGCACCCAGAGCCCACCCCCCACCACACTGCGACACCCCCCCCCGCCCGCTACCTCCCAAACCCCTGGGGACTCAATGCCAGCTGCCCAGCAGGGCAAGAGCCAGAGCTCCAGGGAAATGCAGAAAACAGCCCGGTGGCTACAAGAACGTGTCTGGGACAAGGGAGTGCCTGGCATGGGGGCACGGGCTCTGCCGCTTCCCCTCCCGAGGGACACAGCGTGGGGCAGGCAGCAAGCAGGCAAACCCCTCCAGCACAAGCAGGTGTGGACCTGCAGCAGACCCTGCTCCCCGCGCCACCGCGGCCACGAGTCCCCAGGGTGCCGGG